GGTGCTGATGGAGTACTGTGACTTTGGGTTTTGTTTCTTGTGGCTAGCTGCTTTGATGCGTGCAAAAAACTGTTGACGAAGTCGTCTTTGTTTCTCTCTTTACTTTTGACGGTTATTGTTGGAAACAACTTACATTTTGTTTGAGGTAAAACTGAAGGTTAGTATAATTCAAATCCTTAATCACTTTTAGTGTGGAGAAAACGACTTCACAGTCAGAACAAGATATTTATAATTATGAGACACAAACTTTTCTGAAACCCACCAATATGATGCCTAGCTCATTAGAGCTGCAATGTTTATAATTGACATAGAGGTTGTGTATATGAAGCACAAGGCCATGGAGTTGTTGACTCTAGTCTCAGCAAAACGTACGTAAAGAGAATTAAGGATGGATGGCTTCTATCGTTAATTCAATTCAAAGGGATCCTCTGTAAATTAGGAAATAAGTGCAAATTAGGAAATAAGTAGTGAAGTGACCAATAGATCGAAACCGTTATTTTGGATAACGGTTGGTTGGTTGTGATTTAACTTTTGAGTGTAAATTAGGATCGGAGAGGTATGATTAGTGTCAAATTTGAAATGAATCATATCCATTTACTGGACAAATCGACGGTTATGATTAATGTAGTGGTCTCTCCACTAGTTTTTTGTAGTGGAGATGATCTCAATCCTGTTTTTTTTTTTTTTTTTTTTTTTCCCAAAATTTTGTAAAATGACACATAACATGATCCTCTTTTTTTTACTACCAAAATTCCCTAAAATCACGTATAAGAAGGGAAATTTTTTTGACCTTCGTGGCCTTGTTGTCCCCTTCTAAATTTGCAAAAACTTAAAACGAGCAGATACCAAGCGAAGCATTCCATAAAAGTCATTCTCAGTGCCGAATTAATTCCAAGGAGTTGTTCCTCTGCGATTTGTGCACTTAAAAGGGCCATCCTGTAATAGTAGTGCATTTTCCATGCTCCGGATGGTCGCCGCGTGGCGGTCGGGTCCTCATACGTGTTTTGGATGCCTGCCACGTGGAATCAGTTGGCTGTGTTTTGGATGCCTGCCACGTGGAATCAGTTGGCTGTCAGGTTGTTGTAACTGAGATTGTCCTAACAACCTGAAAGGGGGTTTAAAATAGAACCCAAATTGTCTTCTCATCTTTTTAATGATATATTTTCCTAACTAATTTCCTTCATTAATTGTTCTGTCCTGAGCCTCCTAAATTGGAGCTCGGAAGAAGCACTACTAATCAAAAGGGAACTAACAAATTCTATCTTTTTTTTTTGAAGTAGTTAGCCATGAAATCAATTAATAACTAGCTTAACTAATTTCCTTAAGCCCTCTTATGCTGAAAACGATCCCTTGGTCTAATAAAGTACAGTCCTCTTAACGTTCTTTCCCTCCGGCAAAGAATTCAAAAACCCACAAAAAAAAACCCTCTCTCATCAAGAACTCTGCAAGAAACCAGATTCAGCCAAGAACTTAACAGAAGACTTCATCATCCACCCCCTACAGCTTCCTCCTCCAACATTGATCTCCAAAAATTAATGGAAGAAGAAGAGGACAAGAAACAGAAACAAATCATCACCGAAGACCCTCCTCCTCCTCCTCCTCCTCCTCCAAGAATCCAATC